AAATAACTTAATAACTGGGCTCGAAACTAAAAACGAGCATAATTAATAAAAGTAATTAGTTCAAACTTAGAATAATTACTTTTATTAATTACTGAATGGGATATTACAGCGCAGGCCTCCGGGTACATACACCCCTAATTAGTTAGTTGTGATGAATTCGTGGATTTTGTGTTTCATTTTCAGATGTTGGATTGTATGTACAAACTGAATTATATCGTTTTGTATATATTGTTTGTTTAACAAATTATTGTGTTTTTTTATTTGTTTTGTTATAGTGTATGTTGGATTATTATTGGGCAGAAATGTTGATATTAGTTGCTCGAACAGGTATATTTGATTTTTGGGTAAAATTTGAATTTTAACAAGTTTTTTCAATTTTTTTCTTCTAAAAACGTATTTAACAAATACGTTTTACTTTTAAATTAAATTTAAAAAATATGAAAAAAATTTAAAACGTATTTCATAAATAAGTTTTAATGATTTAAAAATAAAAAAAAAACGAAATCATAAACGTATTTATGAAATACGTTCTAATATTTTTAAAAAATAAAAAAAAAATAATTTATAAACGTATTTAGGAAATACGTTTTGATAGTTAAAAACAATTAAAAAAAAAAATAATTTGAAAACGTATTTCGGAAATACGTTTTGATAGTTAAAAACAATTAAAAAAATAATAATTTGAAAACGTATTTACGAAATACGTTTTGATGTTGATTAATTTATTTAATTAGGATAATTAACGTAAACGTATTCAAGGAATACGTTTTTGGTTCAAACTTTATTTAAGCTGTATTCAAGGAATACGTTTTCTAAATAATTTATCTAGAAAACGTATTCCTTGAATACGTGGTTTTTATTTTGTTCCACACCTTTTTTTTTTTTTTTTTTTTTTTTTTTTTTTTTTTTTTTTTTTTTTTTTTTTGGTTAAAAATTCGCTAAAGTTAGCTAAGAAAACATGACAAAAACAGCACAAACAAAAGCAGTAAAGCGTGTGCTTTAAATGGTGGTGCTGCTGTCATATGCTTATAAGATTCTTTCTCCAAACTGGCAAAAGCACAGCAAACCTTTTTCTTTCGAGGGAAAAAAGTAGATTGGAGAATTTAATTTAAAATTAAAAAAAAAAAGAGAAAACTAAAAGTAAAAGAAAAAGTGAAAGAACACTGAATATGAACATTTTTTACATGGACTCATTAGTCAAAAAAGCAAACTTGGAATGTCATTTTAGTCTCAGTCCTCTTCTGTTCTCTCTCAAAACAAATTATTACAGAGAGACTCTCAGACTCAGACCACTTGAAAAATTGCAGCACACTCTTCTGCTTCATCATCTCAGACATGGGCTTTGCTATAAATTTCCTCCTCACAGTTTCTTGCTTAATAGTTCCACCAATTTTCAGCCAAGTTACAGGTGAGTACAACAAGTCACCTTCAAAATTCAGTTAAAAAAATATATATATATATTGAAAATGAATTTACAACAACAAAATCAATTTCATGCGTGCAGAATTCATCAGCATAGACTGTGGAGGCACAAGCAACCACACCGACGAATCCACCGGCTTGCCATGGGTTTCCGATTCGGGATTCCAAGGCCGTGGAAAGGCGGTATGGCTCGGCAACAACACGTACGGAAACCCGCAACAGTACCAAACGCGGCGCGATTTCCCGACGGACGCCGGGAAATACTGCTACAGGCTGCCGACGGAGGAACGGAGGCGGTACATCGTGCGTGCGACGTTCCTGTACGGCGGCTCGGCCACAGGCGGCGCGTACCCCAAGTTCCAGCTGTACCTGGACGCCACCAGGTGGTCCGCCGTCACGGTGATGGAAGCTTCCAGAGTGTACACGAAGGAGATGATCGTGCGGGCCCCCTCGGCCACCCTGGACGTCTGCTTGTGCTGCGCTTCCACCGGATCCCCTTTCATATCCACTCTCGAGATGAGGCCTCTCAACCTGTCTATGTACGCCACCGATTTTGAAGACCGTTTCTACCTGAAAGTGGCGGAGCGGATCAATTTCGGGGCCCCGACCACAGAGGCTATAAGGTATCCGGACGACCCATACGACCGCATCTGGGGATCTGATGTTGACCGGCGCCCTAATTTCCTGGTGGGAGTTGCTCCGGGCACGGTGAGGGTGAACACGAGCCGCAGTGTAAATGTGAACACGAGAGAGTATCCTCCGGCCAAAGTGATGCAAACAGCGGTGGTGGGCAGAGGGGGCAGCCTCACGTATAGGCTGAACCTCGAGGATTTTCCGGCGTGTGCGCGCGGGTACGCTTACTTTGCGGAGATCGAGGATTTGGGAGAGAATGAGACGAGGAAGTT